GTAACTTACAAAAGGTAATATATATGAGAGATTAAAACTATTATAGCTATCATTAGGCTACTTTATATTAATATTGTTAATAAGATTGCAAGTACTAATTTCTTGGCCTTTTTCCATTTTATTGTTTGATTATAAAGGATAACTTCCATTATTCCATTCATTCCTCCTCCACGAAGAATTGACAAAATCCTTACCAAAGGCTAAAAGAAAAGAACCGACATTAAGAAGGAATAAGAGAAAGGTATAAAAGGAATAGAAATCAATTGCCAAACATATTTATTCCATATGGCCCACGGAGGTGCCAAGGAAATTGTGGTCACTTGTATAGGAGAGTCAATATTGTGGACCACTTTTTTTTTTTTTAACTTCATTTTTGGCGTCAAAAGCTCTTTTTTAGTTTTTCTGTTATTTTTTTATATACATAACATATTATTTAATAAAAAATTTAAAATAAAAAGATTAAAAAAAATTTTTAAAAAAAAATTAAGGAGTCAAAAAAGAGTTTTTTTAGTCTTTTTATTATATAATTTTAATCATCTAATATATTACATGTGTAAAAAAATAACAAAAAACTAAAAAAAAAGTCAAATAATAAATTTGAAGAATTAAAACAAAATTACTAAATAGTGACACTAAAAGAAAACTTTTTACTAAAATAGAAGGGCTAAAAATGAAGAAGCTATTCCATCCTTAACCCTTAAGCAATTAATATTTAAAAGCAAAAGTCAAAACACCAAAAGCAAAAGTCAAAACACCCTTCTTATTCCTTCTCTTTTGGCCCTATTGTGAAAATTGAGGCCACATAAAACATTACAAATATATTTGATTTATTTGATTTTATTAATTTACAATTATTTATGGTAATAAGTTAATTTTAAATTATTAAGTAATAAATATTAATTATTTAATCAAATTTCAATTAAGAGTTATAGTTAAAAGTTATTTTTAATAGTTAAACTAAATATAATTATAATTTTTTTTTATAACTTTAATAATTAATTATGTGATCATAATCATGACCTACTAAAAATAAAAATGCATTAAACGAAGAGTCTATTATATTATAGTTTGACAAAAGAATTTATACGAGAAAACCCTTGATATTAACGACATATCTCTTATCTAAAGATTTATATTTTACAATTTAATATAATCTCAATTGTAAAACAATCTTTTATTAAGCAAAAGACCTAAAAATTAACTTTTGATATACAAAAATTAAAAAAGTGTTATAAAAGATACTCTAAAACCCGAGATTTGATTTTAAATTTTAAATTCAAGTCTTGCTGCATGCTAGTTTTATATTAGCTTCATAATTCAGTTTACAGTGCCCGTTAAAAAATGTCCTCAAGGAAACGATAAGGCAAAAGAGGCGTCCCTGCCAGAGCAGGTCCAACCTAAAACCAAGATTCTAGCATTCTTCACATTTGCATATAAAAATCTAATAAAATCAATAAAAGAAACACACAGTGCATTGCTTAAGAAAAGCAAAAATGACATTAATAAATTAAAATGGCAGAGCAAAATGACATTGATAAATCAATAAAAGAAACAAAAAATGAACTGCCTATTCCTACCTGGTACGGGCAAAAAAAAGGGGGGAAAAGGGAAAAGAGCTCCAATTGAGTTCATCAGACGAATATATGAGAAACACATCTGCAGGAAAATAAAATCAGGAAAATGTTATCAGATATATAAAGATTACAACTCATACCAAACAAGAAACCTGACAATAAGAAGGATCAACACACAACAGACTTGTTATGAAGGCATCTTGTGAAATGAAATACCACAAGTGGAACAACGTCTTTGAGTCTTGCCAATAGAACGTTTCCCAGAGGACAAATGCTTGGGTTTCAATGTAGGGAGCACCCTATCTGCCTCTTCTCTACGGGCATCCTTGTTCCTCTTCTTAACAGATTTCTTTGCCAGTTTAAGTGCCTTGACCTTCTGTTTAGTATCCTTGAATCCCTCACCTGGTACAACTTCACTAGGAGGCCGTGACTTAGATCTTGATCGGGAACTTGACCTCAAGCATAGCTTTTTACTTGATTGGTCAACATCCACATCCATAGCCTCAATATCACTATCTCTCCTGTCAAGTGATCTCTCCCTCTTCCGGCCTCTTGACTTGCTCCATGCACAGTTAATTGCCAGAGAGGGATCCAGGCCCAATTGGGATAACTGCCTGCCCATCCTCTCTGTTGTGAACTCTCTGTTCTTATCAAATTTTCTTGGTATAATGGGTCTACTCTCTGCAGTGCTTTTCTTAATCCTATATTATTGAATAAGCAAGCTTTTCTTCTTCCTGATCTCAGTTGGTGCCTTTTGCTCTTCAGGAGACAAATCATTGTCATCCATCTCAAAGTCTTCATTTTCCTCCTCTGCTTGCCTAAGACCCTCTTCTTGTCCCAACTCTTCAAGCCTTAATAAAATATCAGGATCAACAAATTCATACACATTGTGTCCATCAAGAATTTCAGGCATTATATCTTCTTTCCACTCATCATCGACCAACATATAATTCTTCCTCAAACTAGCAGAGTAGAGTCCAGCTCCACCATTCTCATTCTCCAAATCCTTTTCAGTTTTCCTCTTCTCCTTCTCTGCTGCTTGCAATTGAGCTTCCAAAACTGCCTGAGGAATGAAAGGAGGCCTTTCCTTCTGGTGACGTGGATTTGGTATTGCAACATGGAACCTATTAAGACAGTCATTTATCTTTTTAGATTTCATCTTCAGTTCTACCCCCCGATCCAATAACCTCTCACAAGCTGCATTCTTCACACCAATTACTCCATCCTCAGTCAAAGTGCTCATAGGCGACAGCACTCCCTCTTCATTAGCAGGATAACCACCCTGATGACCCATCACAGTCTTCATGGCTTCTGCTTTCATCTCCAAGACCAACTTCATATCTTCCTCAGATAACCCATCTAGTGGCTGCAGATCTGTCTTGTTGCAGACAATAATCAAGGGTTTGTTCATAAACAGAGATTTAATGCTGTGGAAAAGAGCTACCTGCTGTGCAATGCTGTACCCACATGACCCTAAGATGTCCAAGAAGAATAACACTGCAGGTCACAAGTGTGCCAGTGCTGTAATACGCACATCTGAATAATGTTATGATCTTCAAATGGCCTGTCCAAGATCCCAGGCGTATCAATGACCTGGTATCTAAGATACTTATCATCAGTATGACCAACAAAGAGTGACTTTGTGGCGAAAGCATAAGGCTGGACATCCCCATCAGCCTTGGTGACTTTGTTCATAAATGGGCTCCTGCCAACATTAGGATAACCACAAATCAAGATTGTCCAAGTGTTACGGTCAATAGAAGGCAGTCTTGCCATGTGTTGTCTAATCTGCTCTAGGTAGGCCAAACTTGGGCTAATCCTCTTCATCACTGTACACATGCGTCCCAGTGCCACAGCCTTCCAGAGACTTTCATCTGTAAAGAGAATCACCATACTTCAACAGCTTTACATAATCTTTAGCAATCTTACCAACAAGGTTCCTCGCTTTATTTATTTGTCCAAGAACAAGTTTGTAGTGATCCTTGTTGTAAAGCACATGAAGAAGATCCAGTAGAATGGTGGATATCATCTAAGCAAGGGAACTCATCAATTCTAGTTGAGAGCTTCTCATGAAAATTCTGCTGAGTGTATTTCACTTGACAAATGTAAAACTGCCTGAGGCGAGAAATCACATAACCCTTATGGACAACCGTTGGTGTGTGCTGTTGTGTGCGGGAAAGAATAATGTCAATGAAGTCCTTCCCATTGGGTACAATGGTAATCTTCTTAAAACTACATTGCACCATCTTTAAATGCTAATCTGCAAAACTAAAATCAAATAAGCTACAAAAGTTTTCATCATTAATCTTTCCTTTAGGGAAGGATAACTAACATATAATCAGAACATTTCTTCCTATTCTTTTGAATCTTTTCCGCTTTTTCCTAGTGACACTTATATAGTCATATTCTGTTAACAATATTATTGCGAAGCAATACTTGACAGACAAACAAAGTGGACAAATATATTTACAAATTATACCAATATGAGATTATTGTTTATCAGCCATACCTGTAAAAAATTAAGCACAAAAATACTTTAAAATTACGTTATTTTAATTAAATAAAAAAATACCAAAACAGTATCATTCTTGCTTTTAAAAGTAAGTTATTTTAGTTTTTTTTAATGAAAATTTATTAAAACAATGAAATTTTAAAGTATTTTTTGATCAAATTTTTTGCCAGTCCAGCTAATAAACATTTTTCAGTATCAATATGCCATTGAACAATACAACTGAAAATGATAGTTTGCACGTAAGTATCACTCTTTCTTTACAATTGGGATGGATTAGCAAGAGTATAACAAAAAAAAAAAAACCAAAAACAAAAAACAAAAAACCAAAAACAAACAGAATAGAGTTGATCAAGACTGTTAAAGAACACCCAGAAGCTTGAAGACGTGCTCTAAATTGGAAAACTTACAAGAGTCTACCCATTTCCCACAGATTCCAAAGTAGAGTTTCAAAAAAATAAAAATAAAAAGTTCTTTTGAACCAACTACACTAAAAAATTGCAGTATGTGTTATAAAAGTATTAAAAAAATCTTTAATTAATCTTAATAAGGTGCTAATTGCCTTCACATCTTGTACTCTATGCAGTTGGGATTAAAAAAAGAAAAACTTTTCGAAGGAAATTATTCAAGGAATGGCATTGTGTTACAAAATATTATATTTTAATTTTAGACGTGGTTTTTTTATTTATTATTTCAGATATCTCTTTTTAATTTTGACTAGCATTAGAGTCAGCCTTTCTTATGGTATCATTGGTTTGAGGAAACTGTTAAGAGGGAGGAAATTGATAGGTTATTTTACTAATAAGATTATTTATGAATGTTATAATTT